AGAAATTTCTCCTCCCTGGTGTGACACGAGCAATGGTAAGAAAGTTGGAAAAACACAGTGTATGAAAATATCAGAATCTTGATGTCAAGAAAACATTTTGGGATTTTCCTCTTAATCCTCAAATGGCTACTTACAACTCTCAGTACTGATTTCCATTTATCTCTCATTAATACACAAACTTGCCTTATTTCTAAATCAGTGTACCAGTTCTCCTCTTTCCCTGAGAAACTAGATAGTGCAAATTCTGGTCATTCCAGTCAGAAAGGAAACCTCGTGATGGCAGCTCACTGATTGCTTGTCCTAGCCATTATATTCAGCACCATGTCCCTGTGAACATTATTCTCCTTGACTCTTCTTCCATGCAAGTTGCCACTGACAAACCACCAAGCCTCATCACATCATCACAGCCCCTTTCAGACCAACTCTCACACTTCAACCCTCCCCCAATGTACTTTGGAGTTCACAGACACATACAACTTCCATGGTTCTGCCAAATGGCATTTGGTCAAGATGCATCTTTTGGCTTTTAGCTTGCTTTCTTTGCACTCACGCAACTCAAGTTTACCCAGATGTTGCCAGTCTGTCTATCCACGTTGCTTTCTTGATTCACAGGCTCTTCCCTGCTCAGTTACAGGCCGCCAGTCTCTCTGGCTCAAACAGCTTTTGGCTGCAGGGGCTGAGGCAGGGAGCATGTCACAGTAGGGAGAAATGAAAGGTGAAGGATGTAGATATGTCATGGTGCGGGACCATCCTGCATCAACGTTGCCCCTGAGGCAATGGGCCAGCAGATTACATGGAAAACACACTGGATACGCTTCAAGAGAATGGCCATGCGTGAAATTCAGAGTGGTGCTATCCTTATTGGTGTTGAGGGGGATTATGATAATGTAAGGAGGCACCCTTACAGTCAGTCGACGGGATCATCTGGTTCTAGTCGGGGCCAGTTGGCCTGTCAGGTCCCCTCATAGCTTGGGATCACAGGCAGCAGCATCTCTGGAATGTCCTGAGAAGATGATTCTGAGGCTCCCTTCTATCGCTCTCATTCCTTGCTTTGGGTGCCTGCTGGCACCAGCTTGACTTCTGGACAGGAAGGGAAATCTGGACTGAGGTTGAGATTCTTTCAGGTTCACTCCACTAAGCACCGATGGCTACAGTGATAGAGTTCAGGTTTGTGCACATATACAGCAAACACTGAGTATGCCGGACCTGGCTTTTTATGGAAGAGACGATTTGCTCACGGAGACAGCCAGTCACAAGCATAATGGAGCAGCACAGTGCTGGTAACATTGGTGCACTCCTCCATCCTTTGAACCAGTCAATCAACTTGCTTTAACAAATCTGCTTGCTACCCCTGTGCCTGCCTGAGCATTTTTGGCGTAAAGTAAGTAATGGCTGAGACCACTTCTACCTGGAGTTGAGTGGGCACTGGCATCCAGTGGTCAGAAACCTGGGACATTGCTTTCTCGACCAGATGTGTCGGTGGTACATTCACCAGACTGTGCTCTAATCCAGAAAGAGAAGCCACTGAGGTGAAAGGCTCTGAGCTGGTGGAGAGGAAAGTCTTGCTGGTGAGGGTCAATGACTTCCTCCTCTAGTTGTAGCCGGAGCTGACAGCCTCCAGTGCCGGCCACTTCTTTGTGGAGGTTCATTGCATCAATAAAGAAAGAAAGGGTACTAGTCATTTAAAAGCTTGTGCCCATTCAGAATGAATGAACACTGGTGGTAATTGGCAGAGCAGCACAGCACAATGGAACTTATTGGGTTGGCTTCCCATTGAGATCTCCCTATTCCAACATGAGCAGTTGTGTTCTTCTCTCTATAATTCTAGAATTAACTCCTCATAGGGAGTGAGCAGCCTAATGTCTGCCACCAGTTCATCAGTTTGGGACCTCTCAGACTATTTTTTCCTGTAATGAAAGAAAGGGAGGAACTGTGTATGATGGAAGTAAGTGTGGAAGAGCAGTTAGTGGTGATGCTTGAGCAGGAGAGGGGTGGTGAGGTGTTCTCAGTGTGTAGGAAGACCCCAGAGGTCAGAAGGGTTCATAGCTTGGGAGAATGAGGTGAGTGAGAGTCAGTGTGTGAATATGATGGATCTAATAGTGAGGATTAAGGTCCATGAGGCTTGGCGAGTGTTGGTAGACTTAGAGTGAGTGGTGGTTCTGAGAGTGCAAGGTAGAAAAGAGAAAGTGTTAGTAGTTACCCTCGTGGGGTAACTTAATGGGGTCCTTTAAGGCTCTCACCTTTAAGCACCCATGGCTACTGTGATAGAGTTCAGGTTTGTGCACATATCCAGCAGGCACTGAAGACCACTGACCTTCCTCCTGCACTGCTGGGCAGCTTACTTCACGTAAGACACAGCACCGACCTGGGCTGCTGTCTGAGTCAAGCCTGGTTTGCTCTGGTGCCATTGCCAATGATGGCATTCCACATTCACCTCCTTTCCTCCACCCCATGCACCAGCAACACCAGGTCCCTATCCACGAAGCAGGGTGCCAGTAATCCTTTCTGTGCCTTCATGGCCCAGCATCAGTGTGTGGGGGGCAGCTCCTGGTTTGTAGTCTCTGAAGCAGTGTTCGGCTGTTCCTTCCACGTGATTCCAATGTGAAGAGCACCAAAGATCCCACTGGCACAATGAATGAGTTGAAGAGCAGAGGACTGTGAGAGACAACTCACTCTGAGCCAATGTTCCCTCTAAGCTCCGTGGCCACACAGACTTCCGCAAGTTCCTGCCATGCACGGACTTTGAAATTCCATGCAGTGGAAAGAATTGTTTAGAAGGAAATTAGCTCTGAGCCCTTGGCAGACCTGGCAATTAGCAAAACCACAACTGAAACTGGAAAATGTCTGCCCTTGGTGTGTGGAAGAAACCTCATATTTGCCTAAAACGTGGACGAACATCGTTATGCTCTGCCCTTGACAACTTCAAAAATAATCCTTTACCAACAGCAGTCATGTAAACATGAGCTCCTATGCATAACACTTTCTCTGGATGTTGGATTTCTGCGCTCAGTCAAAAATCACTTGAATTCATGCCCATACCTTTGACTGATAAGTTATTCTGAACTGTAACCCCTCTGTTACCTTTCCTTGTTTTGCGTTTTTCCTTTGTACGCTTGTGTGTATTAATGTGTTGTGATAATTATTCCCCTGGGTGCAACTGCGTGAATAAACCACACTTCCGTTTTAAACCCTAAAGAGAATCTGTTGTGGCTCATTTTCATATTGCACTTCACAAAAAGAGGGGAACACATCACAACCTTTCAAAAGGGACAAGGAAGAGGAGTAAAATCAAAACACCATTACTTATAGACAGAAGCAAAGTAAAAGAATTCAATTTACACATCTCTCTTCTCATTAACTTATTACATAGGCATTTAGATTCAGTTTTTATGAATTATAAGTATAGGTGTAGATATCTAGGAGGGGACATCAAACAATTGGGTTGAGGTAATGGGTTGTAACAAAATAAACAGTATTTAAGTTTGATTTGTCAGTGAGCATACACCCTTGGTTATTGAATGGACTTGGAAGCTAGAATTAACAATGCTCTCGACAAATAAATAGTGGTACAGAGCTGGAGATTAGCTAAAGAAAAGTTGCAGAAAAAAAAGTACAGAATGACATGTTTTTAAATGTTTTTAAATGAATGAATGTTTTTAAAATGGATCATCATGTACCGGAGTGAAGAAGTGACAATAAATTTACACAGAGTTTTGGTGAGGTCATATTTGAAGAACAGCGTGCAATTATGCGCACCTCATAATACAAAGAATTCAGGAGGTAGGCAGCACATGGCAGAGATTCACAGATGATGCCAACAACTGCCTGTTGTTTCCTATCTTAACCTACATTTTCTCCCCCTTTGGGAAATAGTGGGAACATATTGGTAAGACCTGTCTGGTGATTATGAAACTGTTTGAACCACACCACAAGCATCTCAACCATGGCCAACAGGTCATAATACTTCAAAGTCAGGATTGTCACCTACTGAGTCACAAGACATCCCAAATCAAGAAATCAGAAACCCTTCTGCTAAGGAGAAAATTCAGATACTGGGAGCACCTGAAATGGAAAACAGAATGCTTAAGGGGAACTTGTATGGAAGGTTCTTAATTTAAAAGTGTTTTCATTGGATTCTGAAAATATTACTTCCTCTGATTGAGCAGTCAGAGTCATTGCTTATCAATTTAATTGCGTCTTTAAGGAGAGAGGTTAGGAGATTTTTTTTTAAATCTCAAGATTTGGCACATTGAATAGTTTACCACAGCAAGTGATTAGTGGAGATAATTGTATATGTTGCAGGAGAATTGGATAAATATTTAAGGCAGAGGAAAATAAAGGCTTTAAGGAGAGAGCAGATTGGTGGGTTTACTATTACATTGCTTCAGGAAAAAAATCAGCACAAACATGATGAGCCAAATGGCATCAATTTATGTTATAAATTGTTAAGGTTCCAAGGAACATTACTTCTCCGCAGCAGTCAATTAAATGTCTTTTCCTTAAAACTCTTTTTAGAAGCATTCAGTACACAGAGAAGGAATTTGGCAGGGATTAAGGTAATATTTATTTGGATCTTTGCACTGTCAGACAGTCCTCAGCCAGATCTCATTCACTCCAGTGCCAATTCAGTTGGTCATAGTGAATGGGAAGAATCTCACCTTTCAGCCACTGTAATTCAGGGAGCAACATTGCTTACAGAGCCACAACACACCAAGCAGATCTTTGGGTTCCCTGTAATGTCTTGTCAGAACAGACAGCACAAGTTTCTCATTAACCTACCCAGATATCAATCAGAAAATTGTAACAGGAGAAGACAGGAGTTGTAGCTGAGCAGAAAATTACAGCAGTGCTTCAAACTGGAAACAGCAGATACTAATTATCCCTGGCCCCTATTACAGTCTTTTACAACCCATTTCCTTATCGCGTCAGATTGCTAAAGTAATCCCTCGTTCCCAAAAGACTCAGTTGAGTGCAGAACTATTCCGCTTAAAGATACTTACCACACCCCACCATAGGGCGTCTGCATAACTACCAAACTGTTGGGAGCCACTGTCATCCACAGCATCTTTTTCAGCCAGATACACAAAGTAGGAGGAAAAAATCAGGCCCAGGAACCCGATGTAAAGGGTGGTAATCAGCTCCTATCAAAGGTAAAGTAAGAAAATTAAATGGCTGACATTTACTCGTCAACGGTGTTTTCTTAACTTGATTATTACTGGTGAAAGAGGCTGTGAGCATTACATTATAACAACAGGAATTCAATCCCCAGAGTCTGCTCCATCATCTAACTAGGTCTTGGCTGATCTGCATTGCAACACCACTTAGTTGCCTGAGCTCCACATCATGGAGTCACAGAGTTATATATCACAGAAACAGGCGCTCCAGTCCAACTCGTCCATGCTGACCAGATATCCTAAATTAATCTAGTCACATTTGCCAGCATTTGGCCCATATCCCTCTAAACTCTTCCTATTTATGTACTCATTTAGATGTCTTTTAAATGATGCATTTGTACCAGCCTCCACCACTTCCTCTGGCAGCACTTCCTCTGTGTAAAAAAGTTGCCTCTTAGGTCCCTTTTATATCTTTCCCCTCTCACCTTAAACCTATGCCCTCTAGTTTTGGACTTCCCTACTCTGGGAAAAAGATCTTGGTTGTTCACCCTATCCACGCCCCTCATAATTTTATAAACCTCTGTAAAATCACCCCTCAGCCTCCAACACTCCAGGGAACACAGTCCCAGCCTATTCCGCCCCTCCCTATAGCTCAAACCATCCAACCCTGGCAACATCCTTGTAAATCTTCTCTGCACCCTTTCAAGTTTTATAACATCTTTCCTACAGCAGGAAGACCAGAATTGAACGCGGTATTCCAAAAGTGTCCTAACCAATGTCCTGCCGCAACATGACCTCCCAACTCCTATACTCAATGCACTGACCAATAAAGGCAAGCATACCAAACACCTTCCTCACTACCCATCTACCTGTGACTCCGCCTTCAAGAAGCTATGAACCTGCACACTAAGTTCTCTTTGTTCAGCAACATCACCCAGGGAGCGTTAAGCCCTGCTCTGATTTCCCTCACGAAAACACAACACCTCACATTTATCTAAATTAAACTCCATCTGCCACTCCTCGACCCATTGGCCCATCTGATCAAGGTCTCGTTGTACTCTGAGACAACCTTCTTCGTTGTCCACTACACCTCCAACTTTGGTGTCACCTGCAACCTTACTAACCATTCCCCCTATATTGACATCCAAATCATTTATTTAAATGACAAAATGCCCTTTAGCTCTCTTACTGAATATAAATCTACCCAGCTTGCTCTTGAAAACTCTCCCAACATACCAAACTGTTGGGAGCCACTGTCATCCACAGCTTTATCAGGAAGAGAATTAAAGGTTTCACTGCTCCTTGTGTAAAATTTGTTTCCTTCATTACCCTCCTAATCAGCTTTAATCATTTTTGATTTCCACACTAGTGAAAATAACATCTCTGCATCTAATCAGTCAAATATTTCAAAAAAAAATAAAATCTCTCAATCCATTCCGTGCACTATCTTCGATAGGAATAAAAGCCAAATTTAATAGAAGGCATTTCTTCCTTTTCTTTGAAGCCAGATTCAGAAGCAATTTCCTTCAGTACAGATGTGTAGTGTTGCTCCTTTAGGTTGGCACAATAACCTTCAATCTCAGAACAGTACTCCTACTACAACAGTATTACATTTTCAACCACTAAATCACCTCTTCACTTTACATCCATAGAAGAGGACTGACAATTTCTGCTCAGTTACAAAAAGTGTTATGGATTTATATTCACCAGAAATTGACCCAAGACTGTACTAAGCCCATAAAAATAAGAGACTTTAATCTCATCAACTTTAGTCGGATTTTAACCCAGACTAATTAAGCATTGTGCTAATGCTTTAAAAGGCAAATATTCCTAAAATACACATTGTTGTGATCAATGATTGAATAATAAACTTTGTCTTGTTTCTTCCACAGGCTGCACTATGTCACACCATGTTACGTTTGCTCGTGTTTAATTTATTTATTTTTGGTTCTTCTGATTGTTTCAGCTTTATATTAACATTTTTATTTTCCAATGCATGCATGCACACACTCCAGGCAGGGGAAGGTCAAGTATCAAATTTGTTCTCTTTACTGAGCTCTGAACTTCCCATAATTTTCACCCAGACTGTTGGGTTAGGTACATGGGTAGCATTAAAAAATAGCTAAAGCACTGCAGGCCAGTACTATACTGAGGGAGTACTGTGCTGTTAGGAGCTTTTCCACATGAGTCTCTGTACTGAATTAAAGTCACAAATCGATTGATATATATTGCTCTGCTATTGTCTTTTTCAAATTAAAAGCACGTCCTTAACTTGCCCATATATTTCATGGAGTTACGGTGTTTGGATGAGAACTACCTATTAATCATGGTGCAGAGAGTTAAGTCTAGTAATTAATAGCATTAGTACTGTTTGGACAATGTGATAATTATTACAGTCTGTCAATCAGCTCTCCAGTTCAGAAAGTGAACAACTAAGAATGTGATGGCTCATCTCTTTAGTTTGTGAATTGTTGGAGTTATTTAAAAATACCTTTTTCTTACTTGTCCTTCAGTTTAATTTTCACTTTCTCTTAATTCAATCTCTCTTAATTTCTCTTTCCACATCTGATTTGACATTGAACTCAGCCCGTCAAATGCACCGTCCTTCTCAGTTCCTTCTGTTTACTTTTCAACATATTCCTTCATTACAACCTGGATTACATTTTAAAAATATCGCATTGGTTGTAAAGAAAGAACTTTGAGAAGTCGAGTGGTTGTGAAAGGTTCAATCTAAATGCAAAACTTTGATTTTAAAATCTCATTGGTTAGGATGTTGGCTATGCATTCAACAGGTCCCAGATACCTGTTATTAGCTTGAAATTCCAACTTTTCAGGCAAACTGCTTTCCCTTAAAAGAGCTAAAAAGTATTCATAAGTTAGATATAGCTCTTAGGGCTAAAGGGATCAAATAGTATGGGCAGAATGTGGGAATAGGGAACTGATTAGAATGCTCAACAATGATCATATGAATGGAGGAAGAGACTTAAAGGGCCAATTTGCCTAACTTTGTTTCTACTTTCTATGAACATGTCTAGCTGTCCAAAGACATGACATTTAATGTCCCACATCAGTGAATTCTAGCTCACTAACATTTCCTCACTGCAAAACATTAATTGACCTCTGTGGTAAAAGACAACATGTGGATTGAAATTATTGCATTCGGTAGTGAACATAACAGCTTTAAAAGACTCTGCCAGCTGCCAACTATAAGTACATTAAACAAGTCCTGAGAACTGAAACAAACAACAAGGATGGAGGCTAAAGAAAGTTCTTGTCACACTGGGTTAAACCAGATGAAGACTTTGATGGAATCCAGCTGTCTTTACAACTCAGTGCTTAAATTGACTCGCAGAATGTGAAGTCAGACCACCCCACCTGTCGATGGATAAAGACAACTGATCCCAAAAGTCTCCAGGTGCCTCCCTGCCGATCGACATGTAGCATTCGAAGGATTTGCAGGAAACGAATGCCCCTGGAACAAGAGGGAAAAAATGCTCCATTAACTAGGTCAGCGGGTGCCAGTGCCCATGGTTTTAGCATTTAATATTGAAACTCCAAAGCTAAATGTAAAGGTGCGAGAAAGGTAGAGAATCAGAATTTTAAAAATAATCTTTTGGCTACAGCCCTGGAGCTTTTCATTTTTTTCATGTCAGCCTTTCATATCTTGTTGCTGGTGACAGACCTCTTTGAACCTCTCTAGTCTGTATGATGAAGGTGTCACACAAACTGAATAGTTTGCTAGACTACTTTAGAAGGCAGTTAAGTCTCAGTCACATTGACAAGTTACTGGAATCATGTTTAGGTTTCCTGCGCTAAAAGCTATTAGTGAATCAGTTGGGTATTTTGCGATAATCTAACAACTTTGTGGATCACCCTTACTAACAGACTGTAAGCTCTTCGGTCCAGATGACTTGGTATAAAGTTATTTCAAGATTTTGGACTTTTCTGAAATGCTAGAACAGTGAAACTGTTGGATCTTCAGAGATTCCACCTCTGCCAACCCCCTCAAAAGATGAACAACATGGAGACGCTGACTCATGGATATACCCAGGGTCTTACTGGAGCCTGGCTGTCATGGCACCCAATGTTATAGCACCTGCTTGCCAATCCAAGGGGGCCACAGAATTCTGGTCCAAAGTTTGAAACCATGGTACAAGCTGAGGGCCCAAAAAGCTGCTCCATGGTTGCATTTGTGTGGAGATCCTTATCACAGCCACATCGTCTTATCAAGATCAGGTACTTACAAAAAGAAGGGTAGAGATGAAGATACAAGAGGACTTTAGACAGTGAATCACTCTCTGCTAGATTCTTTTATGCTTTGAAGATAAACTATCCTCATTGGTAGTTAGTCACCGGCTGATTCCCTTCAGTAGGTGTAGGACTGAGGAAGCCCCATAGACTTTAAAGAGAGCACAAGAGTAGATGGTACCTTCCAATGAGCAATCCCAAAATGGGGGAATTGGGTTTTCAATGGGTAGTTGCTAGCGTGATACCTGACCTAAATATCACAAATGCATTGTTTAAACAGGTCAAAAGTCATAGGTTGTGTGTGTAGGAGGTAGTGGTGGGGAGGGAGGAAGAAATCTTATTTACAATCATTCGCTGAAACCATGATTAACTGCAACACCATTCTGTGACCCAGTTGATAAAGAGATCTAAGCTTGTTCTGCCCACCTGATGGCTGATGTTGCAAAGACTTGTCCATTTGATCCCACACAGAGGACAATAATTGAAGCCACGACTACTATGAGATCTGCCAGGAAGAAGCACAAAATCAGGGAGATTATAAAAATTTAGGATTTATGGGGATGGGGGGACAGAGAGAGGAGAGAGAGAGAGAGAAATGGGGGTAGCAGGGAGAGAGCTATCCAAACTTTTTCTCTATCAAAACTTTTCACCATTAAATTTCATCTTGACCTTCTGTGCTCCAAGACCAGCTTAATTAATCCTTCAACATAACTGAAGTCACTTAACCTTGGTGCCATTCAGTAAGTCTTCTCTGCACCCTCTTGAGGACCTTGGACCTGCTTTGTAAAATAAGCTTCCTAAAATGCTATTGAACATAGCACTTCTACGGCCTAACCAATGATTAACGGCACAGTCATTCCATACGTCAGTGTAGTGCTACCCAATGCAACAGGTACTTGTGCAGCAACACTTCATGCTGGCTCATCACAGTCTTTTCTCTGCCTGCCATCATCAATTATTTATCCTACTCTTGTAAACGTTCGCAATAGACTGATTTGATTTTCTTTTATTCATTCATGGGAGAAGGGCGTCACTGGCGACGCATTTATTGTCCATCCCTAATTGCCCTGAGGGCATTTATGAGTCAACCACATTGCTGTGGGTCTGGAGTCATATGTAGGCTAGACCAGGTAAGGATGGCAGTTCCTTCCCGAAAGGACATTAGTGAACCAGATGGGTTTTTCCCCGACAATGAATGGATTCATGGTCATCATTAGACTCTGAATACCAGATTTTTATTGATTTCAAATTTCACCATCTGCTGTGGCGGGATTCAAACCCAGGTGCCCAGAACACTACCTGGGTCCCTGGATTAACAGTCCAGCAATAATACCACTAGGCCATTGCCTCTCCCATGGAGAGACTTTATTTTGTGACTTGCCCTAATTAAGACATTTCACCTCTTCCTTTTGTCAGGGTTTTCAGTGCTACTTACTACTCTCATCTGAAATAACAGAGTTTGCTCCAGATGTCCTATTGTTACCTTTCTGAAGCTAAATGCGAGAAGATGCACAAACGGAGGTTTGGATAGGTCTCCCTTCTGAATGATACAGCTACTCTCTGCACCCTCTTAGAATCCAAGAGAAAGAACCAGACTTACAAAAGCATACCACGGACATATAAAGGAGAAAGACGAGTGGAACTAATTAGAGGGCTCTTTCAAACAGCCAACGCAGGCATGATGGGCCGAGTGGTGTCCTCCATCCTATATGATCAGAATCATGCAATGATACAATAGCTAACACAGAATGAGGCTATTTGGCCCATCACCTCTTTTTTAGCTTTTCAAAACAGCTGTTCAGTTAGACTTCTTCCCTGCCTCTGAGCAAAGTTCTCTTCCAGTCTGAAAGTTAGTGCTGAATCTGTTTCCTGCATCTTTTCAAACTGTGCTTTCCAAATCCTAACAATTCGGTGTGTAAGAAAATGATTCCCTCATCTCGTCTCTGTTTCTTTTGTAGATTACCTTAAATATATGTTGGTACACATCTGCTGATCACAGACCCCTCTGCCACTGCAAAACCTCTCTGCTTATTTACTCTGTCAAAGCTTTTCACCACTAAATTTCTTCTTAACTTTCTGTGCTCCAAGAGCAGCTTAACTAATCCTTCAACATAACTGAAGTCACTTAACCTTGGTCCCATTCAGTAAGTTTTCCCTGCACCCTCTTGAGGATCTCGGACCTGCTTTGTAAAATAAGCTTCTTAAAATGCCCATTGAACATAGCACTTCTCAGGCATAACCAATGATTAACGGCACCGTCATTCCATACCCCAGTGCAGTGCCACCCAATATGTCTCTTTCTCCAAAAGGCTAATCAGTGCCTAAACAGACCATTGTGATTAAAAGGTGCTGAGGACTGACCACTGAATCGTGTTGCTGTACGGTCACTCACCAATGATTGAGATCGGTTTTCTGGCAAAGCGCAGCCTTCCCCAAAATCCAACGTATTTGCTGCGACAGCCTGCTGACCACAGTCGGACGATGTATTCTGTTCCAAAGAACACCACTAATACAATCTCCTATTGAAACAGGAAAAGACAGAAGATGATGGTTACAGCCATTCCAAAGTGGAACAACATTTGTGCTCAAATGGAAACTCCAAAACGTTTTTCTGAGTCGACACGCCACCATCTACACCAGTACGCCTATTTACAGCAGTGAAGGAAATGCTGTAGTCATGCTGTGCTATACAATGACTACTTTATAGTGGAGGAGCTCATGGTTTGGAGGTGGCCAAGGGACGCTAAAGGAGTTGGCTAGAAAATTAAAGCTGAATGATCGACACATGGATTAAGTTATAGCCAGATGTTTTGTTTGACAGTCTTCAACAATCAGCAAATGTGTAGTCAGACTCTTCCCTCGGGAATTAATGATGAGAAGGAGCTCAAAATGGGTAGTTTGCAGATGATCTATAGGTAGAAAATGTAGACTTGTTAGATTGAATTGCTGTTTTTCAATCCATTCTATTTTTAAATGCTTCCTTCCTGGTTATCATTAACACAGTACAATGTTTAGCCTGACCACGCTCCTCAAGTTTGTCAGTTCCCCTTTAAGAAGTGTGGCTGTTGGATAGACAGTGTTGTGCAAGGATATAAATCATAAGACATAGAAGGAGAATTATGCCATTCGATCATGGCTGATATTTTGCCCAATAATTTCGGTAGTGGGGAAAATGTTTGAATCTATCATTAAGGAAGAAATAGCAAGACATCTGGATATAAATTGTCCCATTGGGAACACCCAGCATGGGTTCATGAAGGGTAGGTCATGTTTAATTAATTTGGTGGAATTCTTTGAGGACATTACTTGCATGGTGGACAATGGGGAACCTGTGGATGTGGTGTATCTGGATTTCCAGAAGGCATTTGACAAGGTGCCACACCAAAGGCTGCTACATAAGATAAAGTTGCATGGTATTACAGGTAATGTATTGGCATGGATAGATGATTGGTTGACTAGTAGAAAACAAAGACTAGGGGTAAATGGGTGTTTTTCTGGTTGGCGGTCAGTGGCTAGTGGTGTGCCTCAGGGATCAGTGTTGGGACCGAAATTGTTTACAATATACATCGATGTGGGCGGGTAAGTGGAGCTGAGTCTCAAAAAGATCAGCCATGATCTTATTAAATGGCGGGGCAGGCTCGAGGGGCCAGATGGCCTACTCCTGCTCCTCATTCTTATGTTCTTATGTTTCTCAACCCCATTCTGCTGCCTTCTCCCTGTAACCCTCTATCCCCTTACTGATCAAGAACATATCTATCTCTGTCTTAAATGCACTCAATGACTTGGCCTCCACAACGCTCTGCAGCAATGAGTTCCACAGATTCAACACCTTCTCACTGAAGACGATTTTCCTCATCTCAGCACTAAAGGGTTTTCCCTTCACTCTGAGGCTGTGCCCTCAGGTCCTAGTCTCTCCTACTAGTGGAAACATCTTCTCCACGTCCACACGATCCAGGCCTCTCAGTGTTCTGGAAGTTTCAATCAGAATCCCTTTCATCCTTCTGAACACAGAATACTCAACTGCTCCTCATATGACGAGCCCTTCATTCCCAGGATCATTACTGTAACCGTCCTCTGCACCCCTCCCTCCAAGGCCAGCACATCCTTCCTGAGATATGGGGTCCAAAACTGCTCACAATATTCCAAATATGGTCTGACCAGAGTGTTATACAACCTCAGCAGTACATTTCTGCTCTTATATTCTAGCCCTCCTGAAATGAATGCCAACTTTGCATTTGTCTTCCCAACTGCTAACTGAACCTGCATGTTAAGGGAGGTTGGTTTAGCTCAGTTAGTTGGTTGGCTGTGATGGCAAGTGATGCCAACAGTGTGGGTTCTATTCTTGCAGCAGCTGAGGTTACCATAAAGGACACTCCTCCTCAACCTCTCTCCTCGTTTGAGGTGTGGTGACCCTCAGATTAAACCACCACCCGTTGTCTCTCTCTAATGAGAGAGCAGCCCAATGGTCTGGTAGACCATGGCGAGGATTGAAAATCCCAAAGGCTGTGTTGCCCACATGGCGCCTGGGTTCAGGATATCTCATCTGGGCTGCAAAGCAACTGAGAGTAGGAGGGGAAAGATCCAGGTGTCCAACGATATAGGTAGAAAGTGTAAAGAGGGTCTGCCGAGGGAATAGGACCAGCTGGGACTAAAGTAAACAGCAAAACCAAAAAACAAAGATAGTAATCTCTGGATTATTACTTGACTCACAAGTAAATTGGCACTGGGTCAACAAGATTGAAGAGACTAACATGTAGCTCAAAGGTTCGTGTGGAAGAAACAGACTTGAATTCGTGGGACATTGGCACCAGTACTGGGAAAGGAGGGAGCTGTTCCGATGGGGTGGGCTCCACCTGAATCATGCTGGGACCAGAGTCCAGCAGAATCGCATAACCAGGGCTGTGGCTAGGGCTTTAAACTAAAGTTGAGGGTTGGGTTCACTTGCCTGGAAAACGATGAAAAAAATTTAAGAGGGGGTGGGCTTAGCAGACATTATTGACGTTTCCAGAACAAGTGATAGGACAGAAGGTATGGGAAGGGTCAGGATTCTAACTTCAGGCACAGCAGATAAGGGGACAGCTACGAGAAAGGATGCAGTTAACACAGGGTCGAGGGTATTGTACTTAAATTCACACAGTATATAATACAAGGTAAAGTGAGGTTGTAGCACAGATTGAAATGGGCAGGTACCATATTGTGGGTATCACCGAGATGTGGCTGCAAGGGGATCGCGGCTGGGAACTTAGTCTCCAAAGATACACATCCTATTGAAAGGACAGGTAGATGGGCAGAGGGGTGGGGTTGCCTTGTTAGTAAGAAATGAAACTAAATTAATAGAAAGATGTGGTATAGAGTCTGAAGGTGTAGAATCTGTGTCGACCTTTATGGGAGTTGTACACAGGCCTCCTAGCAGTAGTCAGGGTGTGGGGAAGAAAATAAATCAGGAGATAGAAAAGACATGCAAGAAAAGTACTATTACAATAATCACGGGGGACTTCAATGTACAGGTGGACTGGGAAAACTCAGGTTGGTAGCGAATCTCAAGGATAGGAATTCATGGATTGTCTTTGCGATGGTTTTTCGGAGCAACGTGTGGTATTGGCCACTAGGGAAAAGGCAATTCTGGATTTGGTGATGTGTAATGACGCGGACTTGATTGGGGAGTTTAAGGTGAAGGAACTCCTAGGGGACAGCGACCATAATTTAATAGAATTCAACCTGCAATTTGAGAGGTAGAAGCTGGAATCAGATGTAGCAGTATTACAATTGAGTAAAGGTAATTACAATGACATGAGCGAGGAGGTGGCCAGATTTGATTGGAAGGGGAGTTTAGCAAGGAAGATGGTGGGCAGCAATGGCAGGAGTTCCTTGGGTAATTTGGGAGACACGACTGAAATTCATCCCATGGAAGAACCGTACTAAGGGGAGACAAACAAAGGAAGTCAGGGGTAGCATAAAAGCAAAAGAAAAAGCATATAATGTGATGAAGATTAGTGCAAAGCCAGAGGATTGGGAAGCTTTCAAAAATCAAGAGAGGATAACTAAAAAAGCACACAGAAGGGAGAACATGGAATATGAGAGTAAGCTAACTAGCAGTATAAAAGTAAACCGCAATAGCTTTTTTTGGATATGTAAAAGGTAAGAGAGAGGCAAGAGTAGATATTGGACCGCTGGAAAGTGAGGCTGGAAAAGTGATAATGGGGAACAAAGAAATGGCAGAGGAACTGAACAGGTACTTTGCATCAGTCTTCATGGTGTACCAGAACTTTAATCGAGTCAGGGGCAGAGGACAGTGTAGTGGCCATCACTAAGGAAAAGGTCTTGGGGAAACCGAAAGGTCTGAAGGTGGATAAATCACCCACATCAGGTGGACTACACCCAAGGATTTGAAGGAGATAGCTGAGGATATTGTGGGGGCATTGGTGGTGATCTTTCAGGAATCACTGGAGTCAGGGAGGGTCCCAGAGGACTGGAAAATGGTTAATGTAACATCCCTGTTTAAGAAGGGACAGGAGGCAGAAGACAAAAAAAAACTATAGGTTGTTTAGCTTGACTTTGGTCATTGATAAGATTTTAGAATCCATTATTAAGGATGAGATTGTGGAGTGCTTGGAAGTGCCTGGTAAAGTAGGGATGAGTCAGGACAGCTTCGTCAAGGGGAGGTCATGCCTGACAAATCCGTTAGAATTGTTTGAAGAGATAACAAGCAAGTTAGAATGGACATAATCAATTTGGATTTCTGGGAGGCTTTTGACAAAGTGCTGCACAGCAGGTTGTGAAATAATTTGAAGAGGCCATGGTATTAGGGGCAAGGTGTTGGCAAGGACAGAAGATTGGTTGATTGGAAAAAGGCAGAGAATGGGGATAAAGAGGTCTTTTTCAGGATGATAGTCAGTGACTAGTGGAGTTCTGCAGGGGTCCTTGTTGGGGACCACAACTATTCACTTTATACATTCATGATCTGGACAAAGGAACTGAGGGCATTGTTGCTAAGTATGCAGATGGTGCGAAGATAGGCGGAGGGACTGATAGTGGTGAAGAAGTAGAGAGGCTGCAGAAGGACTTGGACAGCCTAATACACTGGGCAAAGAAGTGGCAAATAGAATACAATGTGGTGAAGTGTGAGGTTATGCACTTCTGTCGAAAGGATAGAAGCATGGACTATTTCCTAAACGGCGAAAGGCTTCAGAAATCTGAAGCACTTGGGACTAGTTGTGCCCTTATTTCAAAGACTATGTCAGAAAGACTTTAGGTTGGTCACTCGTTTTTCATTCTTGATTTACACTGTTGCTCTGTCTTTGGAACTTTCCGAATGTGCAGCCAAGATAAAAATCATACAGTTAGGAACCCCATCAATTAACCGGTCATACACTGCCACACAAAGTACACGAAAATAAAGTTGAATCTGACAGTCCAGCTCAGATCCAGGCAAGGTTTCCTGTATGGAGTCAAGTTAAAACCACAAGCTCCAGTGTTGGTGCAGCTCTTCAATTACTGTAACATTCAAATTGATAACAGT